CAGGCTGGACAAGAGCAAAACTCCATCTCAAAAAAAAAAAAAAAAAGAAAAAAAAATTTAATGGCCTATTAGTTATGTCTCCAAAGCTTCTTATTAAACAATATTGGATGTAATAATTGAAGCAAAATGTATATTTCATATTATTTTAAATTATTTAACCCTTTTAAATGGAGGCATAATCTGTGGGGCATAGGCCAAAAGTGGCACATGAAGCCCCTGAATGTTTTTATAAAAGTGTTATGTGTTATTTATAAAAGTATGAAAGAAAGAAAAAGTAACAGAAAAAATATTCTAGCATTGCTCAGTCGTAACGATATACTGTTCTAGTTTAGCTTTCTTTAGAGAATCAAACTGCAACTCATTCAAATCGCATCTATTACATTAATTTCAAACTACGTTAGTAGAAAAAAATTTTTCTCTCTTAAAAAGTTTCTATGAAGTCTATCCTTATGCTACACTAAACTAACAATTAAACCTTAGACTGAATAGTCTGGAGCCTACTGTGTTTTTTGTCTCATCAATAATTAAATTTAAGGAATTAGGTGCTTGCTTGTCAAAACATTTTTATTTTATTTACTTTTCTAATGGTTTTATAAATCAAATTTATGTTTTTCTTTACTCTTTTGTATTCATTTTTCTTAGTCTGTTATTATGTACAATTTAAAAACTTGCTAGTGCATTTTATTTGTAATTCCAGAACACTAAGACCTGGTGATAAAGGATGGGTTGGTAGAGCACGTGTTCCTATGCCTTCTAATAAAGATTACGTTAATAGGCCCAAGTGGAATGTTGAAATGGAGTTCGGCAGGGTGAGAAAATTATTTTTCATTTTTATGCCCATGAAATGATTAGAATACTTCAAATACATTCTGATAAATTAATTATACTTTAATGAGTTATATATTAATTAATTTGATGCATGTAGATACATAAAACATATGTCTTAAATTCTGTAATAAAACATTTGAGTTTTTTCTTACTTTTAAATTGTTACTTTTTTTGGCCTTGTCTACTTAAATAATTTGAACTACTTAAAATAGTTCTTATGAAATAATTAGTTTAATTTGTTGTTAATATCTTTGAGCAAGTGGTTGTGTTATACGGAATTTAAATATTCGAATAGATCAATCGAATAAACACTACTATCAGTGTTGTACAATTAATATTTCCTTCATTGCATATTTCCATGCCTTCTGATATAAGTTAAGTTTTAAAGTTATATTTAATTTTGTAATCTTTTTCTAAACAAATATATTAGCTAACTTATTTCCTTTTAACGGAAATCATTAGATTCCCAACCACATAAAAATTAATTTTACTGTTATATGTCAGCATTTAAGCATTTCTCTTAACTCTTAAGTTTCAACTCTTACTCTTAAGTTTCTCTCTTAAGTTTCATTTCACACCAAATAATTTTATTTGCTTAACCTCCATTTCATTAGCATTGACTTGATTTTTGATAATGATTAATTTCTTGAGAGGTTGCAACTTTCTTGTAGTTTCTTCTTTTCGTTGCTTCTCTTTTCAGAATGATTAATCTTGTTACAAAAATTGCTCTTTTTTTTTTTAAACTTATATTTTAATCAAATTTATGTTTAATTTTAATGTAAGACAGCATGATGCCATCTACAATTGAGAACTTTTTACTAATTCTGATTTGCTGCATAAAATTATTATATTAATGCAGTTTATGTGTTCCCACCTTTTTTTATTTGGCTGAAATAAAAGCTAATTAAGTAATATTGTATTTTCAATATTGTATTTTTTATACAATATTATAACATGGATCCATATGGTTCTAAAGTCCCTATATTTTTCATATGATATTAATACTATTTGTGTTAAATAATTATTGGATTAATGCATTATATTTGTTCCTACATTTTTTTTTTATTTGTCTGAAATAAAAGCTAAGAAAGCAAATAAAATCTTAGTATTCTTAATACAATATTACAACATGGATACATGCGTTCAAAGTCCCTATATTTTTCATATGATATTATTACTACACACAAAAATGGAATCAGGCTAATGAATTTAATAATTAGATTTTATTTCTATATCATTATTATTTAATTGATTTCGAGTAATTACCAGAAGTTTAATTGTGCATTTGAGTATTTACTTTTTAAAGTGACAATTCTATAATTTTTTTGATTGATTTTTCTACAGTTATTGCTACTAATTTCTGTATGTTTTTTAAAATCTTGATATTTTCAAGGTGAAATTATTTATTACAGGGTACAGATCTTAAATATTTTTTTTTTTCATCAGCTCAATATATATTTTTTACTTTATATTGAACAGAAAAATCTTCTATGCATGAAAATGAAATCGTAATAAAGCTACTACACAGAAAAGAAAATTGTTTCATATGGTATTGTAACTATCTAACCGTTAAATATGCCTTTTTAAAAATGGGTTTGTGTGTGCATATTATACCAAAAAATCCTTTTTTTTAGTAAAATGTTTATCTGATTTTTTCTTTAATCTACTACAAGGCAAGTTATTTTTCCGATTTTATAAAATTTTCCTGTGTTTCGTACACTTAACAGCTTTAAGTTAAGCAGGTAAAAAAGTTTTTCCTGGCTAATTTTTCATTAAATTGTTTTTCTGGTCCTTAAAAAGTGCCTATTTTAAAGGCTTTCAGGTTCTTTAGGAGTTTTTATTTTGTATAGAGTATTATATTTCCTGTAATGAATTTCAATTAAAAGAAATAATTTCTATTTGCAGCATACAGTTATATTGTATCTATATGTAGTATATTTGTTACAATTAGTATCAATTGATTTATTTTATTGTAATGTTTCCTTTATTTAGGGGCCATCTAAGAAACCTTTAACTCGTATCGAGAGGCATATGCGGCAGATGCAGGATAAGAAGAGATTACAAAAATCTCAAAGAGCCGTTACTATCAGTATTGAGGGTAGAAAAATGGCTATTTGATATATTAATTAATTTTCTAATTATTGTAAAGTCAGTTTTGTTGTATATTTTGTGTTATTTGTGAATAAATTTTATGTTGTATACATATAAATGTTTTAATATTTTTTTGTGTGTGATTATTTATGCTTTTCATATGAGATAAGATACCTTGCATGATTTGCTCTTAATTTGTTGCCTTCAATGTTTTTGTGTATGTTACCTTCAATGAGTGATTATGTTAGTCATTGTATAGAAAGTGTTTAGTTTTTAGGATAAGTATGAAACATGGAAATTTATTTGTATATTGCCTAGTTATTGTATTGAATGCTTTTCAATCGTTTGGGATATTAAAAATTTCATACTTTTTTTTTCCTTTTTCGAATGGCAGGCACTGAACTTTATTCGTTTTGCCTTAGAAGATGCCAGAGTTGTTACTCATTTTGCGTTACCCAGTGGGCCAAAGTCACGGAGGCGAGTAACATTGCCCACGCCACAAACCTGTTCATAGGGTGGGCCACATTCACTCATCACACACAACAGAGAACAACACAAGAGAAACATCCATACCCAGAGCGGGATTTGAACCCACTGCCATTGGCTTCGCAGTCAGGTGCGCTAACCGTTTGTCCACCTGGCCTGCAAAATTTCATACTTTGCCGATATTTCATTCTATTGGATGCCTTGGCAAGGTGTGAATATATTTAACAATAATTTCATTTAATGATTTGAAATGTTATAGGTGAGCTTTTTATTCTGGACACAGTTTGAAATGCATATTTAAGAAATTGGACACAGCTCAAAAAGCATGTATAAGAAAAGTATATATAAAAGCATGTATAAGAAAATGGACACAGCTTGAAATATGTCTTTGAAGAATGGACACAGCTCTTAATGTGTGTTTAAAAAATGAACATCACATTTGACGTTTTTGGACAAACCATAGGAAAGTGATTTAGCATGTGCATTCTGTAGAATGCTAAATTTTGTACATTCATATGAACATATTTGATATACCGTCAAATTTATATGACGTCTGTAAGATGATTTTTTTAAATATCTGAATTTAAATTTAAAATCTCACTTAAGTTTTCAGCTTTAAAAGAAAGCTTTTTTTAAAAAGCGGGCAAATTAAAAAAGTTTGGATAGTTAAAAATTTTAATTTTCTTGAAATTTTCAGGTGCTTGTTCTATTTGACCAATTTATTTTTATTTATGTGAAAAATATTTTTCAAAGTTTTGCGGGGTCAAAACTAAAGGTCCTCAGAAATTTTGGAAGAAACTCATCAATATACAAGCGGCAATACTTTTTGTCAAACGAGTGAATCACGTACTGACTGTTATTTTATGTTCTGCTGTGTTCACTCTAACTATTAAGACATAAATACTTTTAGTCTGCTTTTCTATCACTTCTAGAACCAACAGTGTACCACAAAATTATATACTTCTGCGAATACATTACAATTATTAGTACCTAAAAACAATAAATGCGTGGTTAATATTTGATGTGACTTTGAAGTAATAAGAAACTTTCAAGGCCATTAACTGCTTTTACCAAAATTAGACAAGTATGAAATTTGTTTGAAAAAAAAAGCCTTAAGTATAGCAGAAGTTAAAATCAACTCATAGATTTATGGTTACTGATTCAAACTTTTTAAAATGTGGCCCAAAATTTTGACATCTGTACCTGAATAATTGAATATAGAAATAGTTTTGAGAAAGTTGTAAATTGTTAAATGTGATTTAGGTGCAATATACAAATATTGAGTGCAATATACAAAAGTAATACGTTCCCTCACCTAAATAAAACCTCACTCAAGTTGATACAATTAATATTGGATTATTCAAAAAGTAATTTAATTATTTTTTTTATATGAAAGATGATTTTCTTATAGTGATTAAATATCCGAATTTCCCAATTGATCAAAAGTTATAGAAGTTTTTTATGGATAAATAGTACAGTACAATAGCGGACAAAGTTTTTGATTCCATAGATTTTTTTTGGGAGTAATCAAATGAGAACAAAACCAATTGATTATTAACAGTTTCTGAAAAATTCTCCATTTTGAACAAATTAACTTTCTATTGCATTATTTTGCACTGAATCAATTTACGACTTGGCCAATAAAAAGAACAATTTAGAAGCAATTAAGATTTTGCCGAGGCAGCCTCCTCACATTTTATAAATGAAGAAATACAGCCCCTTATGGGATAAAAATTTTTCACTCTATGTTTATGTAATTAAATTTACAGTGTATAAATAGATATTTTCTTATGTCTGAAGAAAAAATTGAAATAGAAATTTAGTAAGAAAATGTCTCCATTTCAAGCGAGCTTTAACATTTCCTTGGTGAAAGCTGTTACTAAATCATCACCCACAGAGGAAATGGACGTCCCTGTTGCTGGGCCGTAGGGAAGGTCTTGGTTTCAAATGTCCCAGCCAATATAATTAAAAAAAAGTGAAACGGTATAAAAAAAAAAGTTAAATGAGAGAAAAAATTTACAAGTAAACAATTTTTATTAATTTTATTTATTTTAGCACAATTCAAATCATGAGATTAAAATTGCAAGTTCAAATTTTCGATTGCTATTGGTTGCAGATTCAGATAATTTGGATAAATACTAAATAATAATAGAGAGCTCCCAACTCTTGAAATACTTCCGCATCCACTGAAAAGTTGTATCGGTAACCATAGGTCTGTGAATTGCTTTTGTTTCTGCTATACTTAAGCATTCCTTTTAAGCAAAAGTAATACTTGTCTAGTTTTGGCGAAGGCAGTTGTTAATGACCTTGAAAGTTTTGTTAAATTTCAGTTTCTTTCTACTTTACGGTTTATTTTAAGGACACGTTAAATTACACCACATATATGGTTATTTTTTTAGATACTAATGAGTATGTAATCGCACAAATATATACTGTTCACTGTTGGTTTTAGTTTATTTTGATGGTTAATTGATTTTGATGATGTTTTTAAATGACCTTCGATGGAAAAGTCCACTAAAAGTATTTATGTCTTAATAGTTTGTCAAACTTAGTAGAATATAAAGTAATATTATAATATAAAAACATGCATTCTAAAACAGTATTGCCACTTGTAAATTGATGTGTTTTTCTCAGAATTTCAGAAGATCTGCAGTTTTGACAACCAAAACTTCAAGATTAAAGAATTTTTTTCCCGCCAAAATGAAAAAACAAGTGTCTATTAGTTTTACATAAAGAACTTATCATGGAAAGATTTAGCAAAATCAAAAATGTTCAGTAAAAAAACCCTGCCTAACTGTTTTAGAAATTGGCCCTTAAAATTGAATATCATTTCTGTATCTGGATGTACTATCAGTTGATTTCTTTTCTTAATAAAACAAAGAAAATTGTGTCTTAATATATTGAAATTTCATTATTAAGCTAACTGAAAAGGAAATTATAATTAAAAAATTTTGTAGGTAAAAGCTGAATGATGCTTATCTAACTCTCTAGGAGTAAAAAAGATCTCGTAATGATAATCTTGGGTACTTTAAACATTCTGAAAATTTATGAAGCACTTAAACTTTTTATTAAAAAGTTTTTTTGCTGCATGGCATATAGATGAAAACAGCGGATCGTGATATTTCGGTGGCGTAATGGTAAAATGCATGTATCTTTCATGATGCTGCTCAATCAAAACCAATATTCGTCATTAAGCTTTTTAAAATTTTTTGCCTTTAAATTATTCAAACTTTGTAATTGTTCTGTAGACATGAAAAATTTCGTCTATCAGGTCCGAATTATAAAAACTCATTGGAATAAAAGTTGCCTAAAATGCAGCTAGATCCAAATACCTTTTGAAAAGCAAACTAGAATATATATATATATATATATATAAAACATGGCTTTTTCAGAAATTAAAATTAAATAGGTTGGTAGCTTAATTACCTACTTTATGTAATTGAGAAGTTTTATTGCATGGACTATTGAGACGCATTTACTTACTAAAAGATCATTAGGAAAGAATTATGTTCATTGGTTTTTGATCTTTATTATTTTTTTATTTAATTTATAACCGAGGTTGAACAACCGACCCAATTCTGAGTTTATGACTATCAATTTTCAACTTCGTAGCCTTGTAATTTTGATCCCAACCCAGAAGACAAAAGAACTCCTGGACAAATCATTGGAACAAACTAAACTTTGTGGAGGACTTTTTAATGGAACTAACCCACATTTGAGTTACATTGAGAGAAAAACCACGAAGACTTTCTACGGTTAGCCCGACGGCAAGGGGATTCTAACCCGTTAATCGTCTACCACTGACGATATTTAACGTCAGCAGTGTCGTCGGTGTGAGCTGGGAGCAGAATTTGTAACAACCAACTGCCGCTGGGATTTGAACTTGAGTTATTTCCTTGGGAGGTGAGTTCTTTATCCTCTGAGCTACAATGACTCAACTCAATAGTCTTTTTTTTTTATAACCATTGTTTAGCAGCCAACCCAATTTCGAGTTTATGACTACCAATGTTCAACTGCGTCGCCTTGTAATTTTGAACCCAACCCAGAAGACAAGGGAACTTATGGATCAAGTGTTGGAGGAAATTCGCTTCATGGAGAACTTTCTAATGGAATTAACTCGCATTTTCGTTACATGGATAGGAAAACCTTCCACTGCTAGCCTTTTGACAAGGAGACTCTAACTCATGATCCGTCTACCATTGAGAATATTTTACGTTACCACTGCACTCGGTGTGAGTTCGGTACCAGCCATCGCTGGGATTCGAACCCGGGTCACCTCATTGGGAGGCGAGCGCTCTATCCCCTGAGCCACCATTTTTAAAATCAGTAATCTGTCTTGTAATTTTGAACCTAACCCATAAGGCAAGGGAACTCTTAGATCAAGCATTGGGACAATCTAGCCTTCTGAGTGGACTTTCTGATTCAACTAACCCGCATTTGCTTTGCATGGAGAGGGAAACCACTAAAACCAAGGAGGTTTTAACCCCATGATCCGTCCACCAAAAAGGATATTTTACGCCAACACTGTGGTCGCAGAGAGTGGAATTCGCGAATGCACTATCCCCTGAGCCACCGCGGCTCGGTTTTTAATAATTAATATTTTTAGGCTAGATATAATTTAATTTTGT